ATAAAATGTTTAAATTTTGAAATCTTTATTCTGAAAACCTCATAATTTAAAATCTAAGAATATATTTTACAAAAAAATATATTAAAAAACTGACTAGTTAATGAATTATTTATTAAAGATATTATAATATCTATATCATTAGAAGCCTTTAAGTATTAAGATCATTCTCAACAAGCAGACAATTTCTTCAACAATTGAAAAAGATTTAAGAAACAAATTTAAGAAATATTTAAACTCTTGGTTATTTTTTATATTTAATTGTTATATTTATTGTTAATTTTTTCAAAAATGTAATTGAATATTGTATACTACTCAATAAATAAATAAATATAATTTTGAAATCTTTATTCTGAAAATAAAAACATATATATATATATACACAAATAATTCACTAAATTAAATCAAAATACATATAATTTCAAAACATATATATGGAACTAATTTATTCTATAATGCTAGTTAAAATATCTAAAGCAGTTTCATTATTATTTTGTATTGGTTCATTTGTTTGTAGTTCATTCATTGATAATTCACAAAAGTATTTGTATACATTGGATTTAAATGATAATTGAGTAGTATAGTTGAATTTGTTAAGACCTTCCTCCATAGATAATAGGAACAATCTATATAAAATATAAAATTTTTAAGATAATTATAAATTTTACTTATTTGAAGATGGAGGAGCTTTTATTAAGTCTAATAATTCGTCCTCTAACTTTTTACTAGAAGATTTAGCCAAACTTCTGATACTCTCACTAGTATCAAAATTGCTAGTTGTAGATCTGTCTAGAGATTCTCGATGATGGGGGAATGGACATGATTGTAGGTTGCCCGAGACAATGCCATCACCGAATGAATTTCTTGGATGATTTTATGAGTCCCAATGCAAAAAAAGGCTAATTAAAAATTATAAAAATATAGCGCATTTATATAATTTTTATATAAAAATAGCAATAATTATCTTTATATCTAAAATAGTTCGTCAAAACAATACTGATTTCTTTTATTTCAATTCTTGTACATATACTGTTTTATAATAAATAACAATAATTAAGAATCTTTATATCTAGAATAGTTCGTCAAAACAATACTGATTTATACTGTTTTATAATTATTAAATTTAACTTCTATAAGTAATGAATAAATATAAATACGTTATATTATTGTATGACAAATATGTTTTTCAAATAACGTTGAATATTTTATAACCTTATAAAATATAACAAGAATCTTCTTACTTGCATTACGATATGGAACCATGATCATATATAGCAATTCAATTACTTTGATGAACAGCCATCATAATAACTTGTTTGGCTACATAAAATCGCCGCTTATTTTGCAAAATTTTCTCCCTAATAATTTGCTAATTTTAAGGAATTCCTTAAAAGATATAATTTATAATTATTTAAATCTGGTTTAAAAATAAAATATACAATGTTGCAGGATGTTATATATAAACATCCAAAGTAAATTGTATAGGTGCAATTTTATCAGTTGAACAAACCATACGGGTTATAACTTATCTCAAGATAATATGTATTACATTATCCCTGTAGGTTACTATTCATCTTCATGTATAATGAATTGTCTCGCCAATACCCCCGGGGAATATTTATTTCATAAATTTTGGAAGAAAAAAAAAGTAAAAACTAAATGTAACCTTATATTAATATAAAAGCAATTTGTCCAGCATGTTTAAAGTTTGTTAGTAACTAAATCAGGTGGCAAATTTAAAAAATATCATATTCCCATTTGTTCTTTCTATAATGAATTCCTAAAAATCATTTAATATCAAATTTGTGGACATTCTCCTTCATCTCTCGCGGTTTTCTAGAGTCCCAAATGCTCATCCTTGTAGAATTTCATTCCTGATCACCATAAAATAGAATGAACAAACCAGTCACATTAAAAATAGAATCATACAAGTGAAAAATATCAATATTTCGCCAGATGAATAAAGGTTAAACGTATTAGACAAGAAATAAATGTAGGTGATATTAGTGGAGCTATCCGTTTGTGTTGTTCAGCGGATAACATTTAAGGATATTTAACTTATTAGTTCTCTCAGTCCTTGGGTCACCTTAGCGGTTCACTTTAAATTTTTTTTGTTAATTTTAATTAAATACACGAATTCATGCGAATATTAGTGAACTGCCTAAACATCAGCTTCTATTCATTTCAAAAAACCTTTTTATCAAAAATTATTTACGGATTTAGTTCTGTTGCATTTTTCAATTATCAAGACTTATTATTAAATTTATTGTTATTCTTACATACTTTATTTTCAGCTTTACCCCCACTTTTTTTTTAAGTTAGCCTTTGACACCTCTTATATGCTCAGTTCCTCGTCTTTTTAAATGTTTTTACGTTTTCTTTCATAGCTTTTCCTGGACATTCCAATTTTAACATGTTTCCATCTCCCAGGGTTATTTAATTTCTCCGATAATTCTTTTTTTCCACTTCTCTTATATTAATATTATTCCCACTCAAATTACAAGACCTCTTTCTCATTGGCATTATAATTTGGCACACCTAATTTAACATATTTATACGCTCCACTATTTCTTAATATTTCCTTCATTTAATTTAATAACTGCGCTCATACCTCTTTTTTAAATCCCATTATCATATATGCCGCGCAACTAGTTTCAATTATTAGTTCATACTTCATTTACAATCTATTACGCTTACCTAATTATTTCGCTTCAGATATAGTTATGACAAATAAATCAGTAAATTTTCTATCCATTATACAGCCTTCCTGAATAACATATCTTCGCATATGGAATTGAGCTATATCATTTAAAATAATATGATATCCTTGTTTTATCATATCGTGTTATTTAGCTATTAAAGCCGTTGGTTGGAATTAGTTCGGCATGCCGGTCCTAACAACAACTCAGAAAACAATTTTGTATAAACTATTAAAAATATTTCATATTTTAGAAAAAAGCGAAAAAAATTGAAAATACAACTAGAGATAGGTGGAAAACAAGTGAATCCTCCTGGAGCAAACAGAATTTTATTTTTCAAATTGATAGGTATATATATCATAAAATCGAGGAATGATTGATTGATTTGAAATAATAATTGCAAATAACAATCACAACAAATTTAATTTTTGGGAAAGAATCAAATATTTTTTAAAATAATTTTTATTTTAACAATTATCTAGGTGTTTTTTTTAAATAAAAAAAACGAAAATTTATTTGCAAATTATTCGACAAAATACAATCAATGCGATTCCCGGAACTTCTTTATCTTATTCTTTTAGTGACAACTATTTTGGCCCAAAAACAAAAAGTATTTTAAAAGAAAATTGTCACATTTCATATTTATTTATAAATATGATAGTGAAAGTGTCGCAAATCATAAATTGTGCTTTTTTTTTCAATATCGTCGACTTGAATTAGATTATTCCATGTCCACATTTTGTAATTTTACTTGAGAATAATTTTAAAAATTTAAGTTCTATATTTTCAATATGATAATATAATCCAGTAGCGTCATTGGGGGTAGGGGGCGCAGGGGCTTGAGCCCCTGAAAAATTTGAAAAGCCCTCAAAATAAATAATATTTTAAATAAAATGATCCTTGAGATTGTAAAGGTAACGCTCCTGGTATAATTTTATATTTGGCTTTTTAACTTTAAAAAAAATTGATTTATGTAAAAAGTTACTGACCAAAAGTGCATATTGAATCACCTAATTTTCAGACGACGATAAGATATCTTAAAACAAAATTCATGGTTTTTATTGTTAGCTGACTTAATATTTAGAGTGAATCAACTTGTATCTTTAGACCAACTTTCAGAATTATCCTAACTTTTTAAAGGATATTCTATCTATTATTTTAAAAGTTGATTTACTTTGAAGTTTTCGATCTATTTTAAGGATCTTATTAAACAATTCTCTTTATTATGCTTAACAATAAATTCTTATCAATCGTTAAGACCTTTTTATAATCCTCCGTATCGATTAAGATTGATTCTATGATTTTTAAAAAAATGGTGGATACAGACGTCTATGTTTTAAAGTGCTATTTATATATTCAAGGAATTTTCTTTTATTGAACTATTTTGCTTACACTTTTGTTTAGAAATGCCAATTAAATTTAATCATGAAAATTTTATAGAAATAAATATGCTAGAAACCCAAAAAACGATTTTTCTGGCAACGTATATATAATTTATAAATAAATTTTTTGAAAAAAATTACATTTATATATTCCTGGTTAATACTTAATCCCCCTCCCCTCCCCCTCCACTCTTCCTTTCACTTGTTTTTTTTTTGAAAAAATCATGAATTTTTTGTTCATTTGATACTAAACACAAAGTATTAAAATCTAAGATGCCAAATGTTTGTGAATAATTATGTTTATTTTTGGATTATAAAAGAACGAGTTATATTTATACATCAAACTTGAAACAAGTGCCTAGAAGCTAGATAATTATTTCCTATATATTTTGGATAATTTTAATAAATATATTTAAAAAAATTTAAATAGTTGTTTAAATAGCAATTTTGATAATTCATTTAAATAAATTCCGAATCTATACAAATTAACCTTCAAACTCCTAAAAAAAGAGGGGAATAATGTTATTTGCTTTTATTTTATTGACAAAACACAAATATATATTTTTTTAAATTTATCATAATTATCTATTTTTTTCTACCTGTCATTATATGTGACTAACCTTTTATTTAAAGAAAATTTAAATCTAAAGATAAAGATAAACTTTTAAACTCTCTCAAATAAGAGTTCTAGTTTATACAATTAATTCATTATAAAGAAAAACATTCAAAAATCCTAGATAAAATTTGTATATCCTCAAACTAATTTCTAAGAAATATTTTTTTCCATTTTGAAGTTAAATAAAATTTAAGTGATAAATCACCGTATATTGAATTATATAAATTTGATTTCTGGCCTCTGATACTCCTATTATTAATTTTTTAACAGGTGCCAGTAAAAAAAACCCCCGAGGTAAATGGAGACATGGACTTAGACGAAGGCCCTGATGTAGAAGAAATAGATGATGGTGATTTAGCTGTCGATAGCAAATTAGGATCTTTTGTGACTGCGGGTAAACCATTTCAAGGAACCATAAAAGATTTTACACCGTTCAACGCCAAAGAAGATGCTAAAAAGCTTAGGAAAGCTATAAAGGGATTAGGTTAAAAAAACGTAATCTTTAATTTATAATTTAAAGCCTAAAACTTTCATCAAGGAGGATTTTAATGAAAAAATAGAAGGATATAATTGTGGATAACTATTCATAACAGGCTTATTTATAGTTTCAAATGCTCATTTTATTTTAGATTAGATAACTACTTATTGAGCGTATCCAAGAAAAATAATAAGTTTTGGTTTGCCATAGCTAAATGAAGTTCGACACTGTACGACCCTAACCGGGCTTATGTAATATTTTTTGCCCAGTCCTTAAAATGTATTCTGTACAAGTTCCCCCATTAGTTCCCTGATAAATTTTTTTATGGAGGTAACAAATTTTTATAATTTGTAAGCCTTAAAAAAGAAAATTTATAATTTCAGCTCACCTCTTAAAAATATTTCCACAATCTGCCTCGAGATATCGGGCCATGTCGATCCTAAATATTAGCTATATTCATCAGAGATCTGCAGGTCCTACCCTAAGCCTGGCCCGGGTGCACAGGCCGGGCAGTATATTTTAAAATTAAATATTTTGAATCGCCATTATTACCTAAAAAATTTAAAATAAATATAATATATTTTAAAAAAAATCCTGCCTGGCCTGGTATAAAAATATAAAACCTGGACTGGAAAAATTTTTTGAAATAAAATCCAGGCCAGGTGCTGTACAGATGGTACCTCTGCAGGTCTCTGATACATATCTATATAGTAACATAGAGGGATAGAGTATATATATATATATAGGATTAATGGGATCAACATAATACCACTAAAACTAGCCAAAATTTTTGATTTTCAGAGGTTAATCCTTTTTTATAAAATTTTTATTAGCATTTTGGCATAATTATGTTCATAAGTAAAAACATCTTAACAAAATTTTATGCCTTAAAATGATACCAGGCACGGACGATAAAACGGTTATCAATATTCTGACTAAACGATCTCAGAGGCAGAGACAGGAAATTGCGGAAGCCTATAAAACCCTTTTTGGTAAGGTATGTACTATATAGTGGTATAAATATTACTACAGTCATCTGCGGTGGGGACACGCTATATATTACTCTAAAAAAATAGTAGGGAGCACGCGAAAAGGGGCAAAATGCGAATTTTTATTTTTCTAAGAATTTTAGGCAAAATCTTTATCAAAATGCAAAATATTACCCATAACTAAACCTTTGTGATCTTATAATGTTAAGCCAAGAAAGAAAGAAAGAAAGAAAGAAAGAAAGAAAGAAAGAAAGAAAGAAAGAAAGAAAGAAAGAAAGAAAGAAAGAAAGAAAGAAAGAAAGAAAGAAAGAAAGAAAGAAAGATTATGGGTGGGATAGGCAGGATTGTGGGAAGATTGTCCGCAACGCCATCTCATCGAGATACCAGGATTTAAGGTAAGGATGAATTTGGATTGAAATTCTTGGATAATTTTGTGGATACCAATGCAGAAGAGAACAGGGCCTGGGGGGAGGGGTTCTCCCTTGAATTCCATTTTGAGATATGATTATATTATTATCGTATTTTAAAAATGTTAATAGCTGTGACGAATGTATGATGTATATTCAGGATATTTGTTACAGAACGAAGTGTTGTCGTTTTTTTGTATTGAAAGCATAATTGAAATCAAGTTTAACTGCGTCATCACGAATACTATTTGCAATGGAAACTTTTTTTTTATAAAAATACTTTTTTATTCTAAAAATTTTGAATTATAGTTGTTATTTTAAAAACTAATTAACTTTTAGTAATTTTACTTTCAAATTCTACTTTATAGTGGTATATTGTATACATAGGAGAAGAGGTGGTAGTGGGTTTATTAGCTTAAAATAATATTTACGAGAAAGGGAGGGGGATTTTTTTTCCCTTCTGCCCCACCCAGGCTACGCCTATGCCTTGTATACTATTCGTTATCAAATTTATTTAAGAATCTGGAAAAAAGCATTAAAGGGGATTTCTCCGGCACAACAAAGAAAGCCTTAGTCGCTCTGTTATACCCACGTGAAGTTTATTCAGCCATACTTTTGCATAGAGCACTCAGGGTAAGTTCCAAGAAAACATTTTGCAAAATATTTTAATATTAAAAATTTTACTTTTATCCCTTCCCTCCTCTCTTTATGGCCTAAAAGATGAGAAAATAAATTGATTTAAATAAAAATATTATCTATAACATGTTTTAAGCTTTAAAATAATAATATACTCTTTGCGAGTTAAATATCTAGAGGTGTAACAGAAATTTTCCCCCCTCCCCTCCATCCCGTAAATCATAGAGAATTTATTGATTAACATATCTTTTTAAGCTTATCGGAAAAGTTACTTGGTATGCGAATGAATTTGAAGATAATTTTTTATTTTTTAATTTTAAGAAACTTTGCTCTGCCATTGCAGTAGTAATAGAGAGGTAAAAATAAAAGACACGCCATGCTAATATTATAGATATTCGAGGTTATTAATAATCTAATGAACTTTGTAAAATCATAGATAGATATCTTTTAATTTTGATTGAGGAGGCTTTTCGAAATAGAAAAATTATATAACGAGAAATGATTATTCTAATTCATCGTTATATTTCAATAATAAACTATTTGCTTCATAGGCGAATTTAGGATTTTGCTAGGTGGGGGTGGGGGTGGGGGGGGATTAGATAAATTTTTCCCCATAAATTTTATTGGAGATCTTTAAGTCTATTTATTGTAGGCCTTTAGCTATATTAAATTTTTATTAAAAATAATTTTTGGGTTTTCACTTTTTTTAAATTAAAATGCTTATTTTTAAAAAAATTTGAATTCTAAGTTATTTTAAAAAGTTATATACTACTAATTTTTCTTTCAAACTTTTCCTTGGGAGATGGGGGGGGGGGGGGGGTTATTATTTACGAGAACAGACAAATTTGCGATCACTTTCCTCCCCCATTGGTTATGCGCCTGATTTGCTTCATTAAAAAAAATGGACTCTTTATAAAAATTAAATATTTAAGAATAAAATTTCGTGCTTTCCAAATTTCTTTCCTAGTTGAGTTGCATAAACTTTAAAATATTCTTCATTTTCTAATCTCTCATCGCGCCATCATTATAATTCTCCTGTTTTTTTTAAACTTTGGAACCTAAAAAAATTTAGAAGCAACCCACACATTTCCGTTTTCTAAATTAAGATAATCATTTCTGATTATATTCTCCAATTTCTAAACTTTGTTTTACTATTTTTATTTTTCAATTGACGCTTAAATTTAAAAATATTATAAAATTTTCTATTTTAGGTGGCTTCCCCTTTTTTCTGACTTTGTTAATGATGAAGTTTTAAAAATTATATATAAATTATATTGTATGGATGATAGCGAGACACTATCATGTCTGATGAACAGAATAAAAATAACAGTGTTGTTAAACGGCTCGATTTGAGCCGATTTTTAAAAATGGATAACTCAATTTTTTAACCATAAAATATTCAAACCTTATGATTCTGGTCATAGATGGCAGGAAGGTTTTAACATCTATTAGCGAAATCTCGAGGCTTAGACACTATATTTCTGGCTAAAATATTGAGTTAGTCGTTTTAAAATTCGGCTCAAATCAACACTAATTTAAACTATTCTCTGTACTGTTGTTATTGCTCAAACAATTCAGCATTGAGCTTAATGTTTAATTTTTTTGTACCTTCTTGAACTCCCATAAAATATCCCATCCATATAATAAGTTCCAAAGTGTCACTGATATATATATTTTTTTGCAAATTTGGTGTGAGCTTGTTAAATATTATTTAAGGCTGTATCCAAAATCATTTTAAAAAAAAATCGAAAAGTTTCAAATTCTAAAAATTTTAATCAAATAATAAATTTTTAAAATTTATTTTAAAAAATTTCTAATTATGTTTTGGACATGTTTTTATTTTTCTAATTAAAATAGCTTATTAAGTTTTCCCATTAAAGATCTGAAAGTTTATGAATTTAATTATTTTTTTTTAATGTTTTGGATACAGCCTAATATGAAATTAATTCGACTCCATGTTTTGTAATCTTAAAAACGATTTATTAATAACAAGTCCCCATGGCAATATTGATTCTTCTATTTAAAATATATTTGAATTATAAATTTATCCGACCTTATAATATTTTAACAAGTGCTTATTATGGGGAATTCTTTCATCTTGTCTATTAATGTCCTTTTATTAATATTTTAAATTGTAAAAATTGAAGTGTATACATTTAAAATTATTTTTGGGATTATAGAAAGCGTATTTTTTTTTATCTTTCAATTTATGTGATTATACAAAGTGGGGAAAGATTTCTTAATACAGATTCATTATAGAAAAAAAAATTTGTATTTTTTGTGGGAAATATATTTATAATATTTGCAATTTTTTTTTTATATAATCAAATAAAAAATAATAAATGTTGGGGAGATACCCTAGGATACTCTGAGTCCTCCTTATTTTTCGGGAAAATCTAAAGCTTTCTATTACACCTCTGTCACTATTCAACTGTTGAGTAATTAATATTTTGGATAATTTCTACGTGTATAGAGAGTTGGGACAAATTTGGGTGGAGTAGCGGAAGTTCTATGTACCCTTACGCCCGAAGAATTGGAAATGGTTAAAAAAGCGTATCAAAAAAGTATAATTTTTTATATATAGCAATATAATACGAATAAAATATTGGTAAGTAAAACTGCTTCATTTTTTTCTAATACGATTTCTCCTCTTTCTCATTTATCTTGTTTTATTTTGAGTAGTGTGTCGACTATTTATTATAAAAGTCATTAAGTTTATTTTTATAGTTTCAGAAAAGTTTGAAAAATAAGATTCATAGGTATTCCATTTCAGAATACTGAGGTATGAAAATGCATATATTATATTTTTTTTCCGTTCAATTGTTTCTTTAGGATATAAAAAGGACTTGTACAAAACGATTTCAAGAGACACTTCTGGAGATGTCAAACTTCTACTACTAGAATATATTAAAGTATTGATTATTTTAAGTATAACCGGTGTTATTTTTTTAATTCAAACTTTAAAAACAAGAGTTAAAAAAGTAAATAAATTATATAAAAAACTAAGTGAATTTAATATAAATTTAGTTTTATATGTAAAAAAAATTAATAGGGCAATAGAATGGGGCCAAGATCGAGTCAAGAAATTGAAGAAGATGCCAAAATCTTGCAGAAAAACGGTTTCAAGAGTATAGGAGGCAAGGACGGTGTTGCCCAACTCTTATCTACTAGAAATCAGCAAGATCTTCAAAAGATTTTTGCCCAATACCAAGAGATCACTAAAAAAAATTTATTAACAGAAATTACTGCAGAAAAGGCACTAAGGGTGTCTAAAGCCGGAAAACTAAAGAAGGTCCTTCGAAATTTAGGTTCGCTCATCAATTTATTATACCATTATATTTCTTTATTTTTATTTTATTATTTTTTAAAAATATTTAATCATTAGTTCAATGCATTAATAATCCTCCCGAATATTTTGCGAAACGACTCAGAGCATCCGTTAAAGTTTAAATTTTTTTCTTTGTTTCTTTAATTCTTCTATCATTTTATTTATATATTTATTTATATTAACATTATTAAAAGGGTGCAGGTACCAATGATCGTCGACTATTAAGAATATTAGTAGCTAGAAGTGAAATAGATCTTGAAGCAATTAAGGAAGCTTACCAAAAACTCTATGGAAAGCCGTTAAAGAAAGATGTTGACGTAATCATGAAAAAACAACCCATAAATTTATTACCGAGTGGCGCAATAAAAAACGTCCTTTTTGAAATCTTTAGATCTCTAAGGAGTTCACTCATTACTTTATTAAATCTCGTAATTTATTAAAGGGTGTATAGAACTAAATAATCTTAAAATTGTTAGAATTTGTTCTGGTTTAGAAAACTGAGATCAAAAATGTTAAAATTTGGCTGGAGAAAAAGAACTTCAAAACCCTTAAAATTATTTTCTTATACCTTTTATTAACACCAAACAAAATAAAACTTATCATAAAAGAATCTTACACTGGAATGTTATGGTCATGAAGATAAAAATTGGAATATACCAAGTTTATTTTCAACACAACAGCTCTATATCCGCACAGATATGTGTGGAAAGAATTAAAAAACTTTAGTTTATAAAAAATAATAAGAAATAAGCTATTACTTTTCGGCTTTAGACGAATTTGAATTTGTGAAGTGTGGCCCTTAACCTTACAGGAAAAAAATTAAGTTCGCGGTGAAAGAAAAGATTCTCAACTGTTATGAGGGCAGAACTAAAATATATTTTATTCTTCAATTTTTATTGGATTTTGTTAATTCTATAATTAGATTTAAAATTTTAAAGTAAGATTTGTGTTTTAGAATTTATAAATAAGAAACAAGAACTCTGATAAAAATAAACGAGTGCAATTAGAACCTATCTCTAGCTAGCAAATTTTCGCATTTTTAATCCCCGTTATTTTTAAAACGACTTGATCAGATTCTAATATTGAGGATATTAAGTTTCTCTTCCATACACTATTTAATAATATATGAAATTTCATTGTGGAGCAAGGTTTCAAAACTTAAGTATCTTTTTTGAAGGTAAATGTATGATAAAATTTATCTTGCTTTATTATACATTTTTATAAAATAATTTTTAGAGCGACACTTCAAGGAAATTTAAAAAGGTTTTAGATGCGCTAATTGATGGAAACGTAAAGTGAATACAATTAGGACGATATTTATTTATATTCTATTCATTAGTTTTCGATTTTAAAATATATCATATAATTTGAATATATTTATTATTATCAAAATGAAAAAAAATTATTATGTAAATATAATATTAATAAATTATATATTTGGGCTTTGTTAGCTTTTTACACAAGGGAGTACAAAATGATGGAAATTTATATTAAAAAGTGTATTTATATACTTAGAATAATTAATTATAATATACACGTATTCATAGAATCTAACTTGATTGTTTATCCTCATAATCAATAATAAAAATTTTAGCAAATTTCTTTTTTCACAATTAAATTGGATCTAATTTAAAAATGAGCATCTAAATTAATTGGAGAATAGGCACAACTTTTTGTATACCTAATAATCAGCGCTAAAATGAATATATATTGAATCAACAACCTTGAAACATTCTATGTATTAGGTTCTATTTTATTTTGATGTGTAGTGTAGGATCATTAATAAAATAATAATATTAATAGATTATATATACTTTTGTTTCAATATAATATTTTTGATTTTGCACCATTTTGTTTTTGCTTAAGGCGAAAGGAAGAAAAATATAATAAAATGAATATTCCACATGGAAAATAATATTTATTTAAATGCATTGGTCATTATCAAATAATGAAACAAAGAGTAGAACTCCATCAGGCCACAAAAGAACTATATTGGCGTACCCGTAAACAGCTTTGATAAAAAATAGCGTGTATTGATACTCGAATGATATTATATTTGAAGGAAATTTATTTCGAGACATATAAAATTTTTCAACCATATCATACTATGATATTTGCTAATGATTTTAATGATTAATCTGTTTTAGAAATAATATTGGAACTATCTCCCCATAATAATAATCCTTTTCCCCGTGCAATTTATCTGAAGCAATTGCTTTGTATTTTTCTTTAATATAAAAATTAGATTGAATAAGAATTACCTTCTTCTGAATATAAGATCGTATTAGAAAAGCAGGAGTTATCGCCAGAGGAACTCATTAGGTTTACGTTTGAGCCATTATTACATGTTTTTCATAAAAATTAATGTAAAAAGAAAAGAAATTATAAATGATTACAACTTGCTTTTTTAAAGTATAATAATTAAAATGTATATTTAATTTAAACAACCTTGACGTATTCTATGTTTAGAGACGGTTTGATATGTGGGATCACCTAATAATACAGGGCCGCTTCTAGTTTCACTTGTGGTAAGGGGAGGGGCAGACAAAAATTTTGGAGGTTTTCATTTTCTAAACTTTTATCAAATATTTTTTTGGCAATCTAAATTTCATTTACTTATCCGTCTTCAGTAATATGGTTGCCAATAAAGGTTTTAATTATTTTATGTCTAGTAAAATGTATCTAAATTTGCTAATTAGTTTAAAAAAATCTATTAATCTTAATATCTTCTTCTATATATTCTGCAATTATGTTTCTCATGGCCCCTTTATACACAAACCTTTTTCCAGGTAGTAAAACCCATTTTAGTATAGATTGATTCACCATTGTATTGTTTAAGTTATAGATCTTACAAGGAAGGCAAAGAACTGCATCAGCCTCAATTAATTATTCAACCTATTTGTAATTATAAAACCTTAAATCTTCTTCCATTATTAGCAAGTCTCTTAGAGTGATGTTAGTATTGTTTAAAAAAACCGATTTGGGTCGATTTTTAAAAACGGCAGGATTTTTTAAAATATAATTCGCATTCTTTTTAATCATTTTTTTATAACAATGAAATCTTTCAGAAACATTACCGACTTACAACTTCCAGAAATGATTATTTTTCGTTCGAATTTTATAAGCGTTCTTAATTTTTTTTTATCACCAACAAAATTTTCAGAGGCATTATCGACTATAATTAACATAGAACCTAATAGGTTAGATTTTCATTTGCACAGAAATTTTGATCTTTATCTAAAATATTTGGGGTTGTTACCAAAAATTTATCAGCTCGTTTAAACTCTTACTTATTTTCTTAACCCCTGGGGTTGAGCTTTTTTCCTCGACATTTAAAAAACCTACTATACATTTAACCAGAGACATGTATTAGATCTCAGGGAAATTATGTAAGGCAAAAAGAACGGGAGCATTGATCCCCGGAACATTCCTGAAAACAGTTTTGGAACGTTCCGAAAAATAATATTAAAGATTACATTTATTAATTACATATGATGACTCATTTATAAATATTCGTTTTTATTTTCTTAATCTCAGCTTGCTTTACATAGCAATAATATTATTATTATAAAATAAATATTCTTTAATAGAAGTTTTGAATTTCAATGGATAATATAGTGTTGACATAGATCTTAATTAATAGGACATTGTGTAAAAATTGGTATAATTATAGAATAAAGTAAATTCGTAGTTTTAATGGATGGTCTGTTCGACCATTAAATTTATTCATGATTTGAGTTCAGATCGGCGTTGTAAGAGTTGTACATTGTCTCGCAGCTCTGCCCATCTTATTTATATTATTAGATTTCGTTGGAAGTGGATAGAAGCACTTTAGATAAACTGAATAGAGTGACTAGTATTCACAAGAGTTTAAAAAAAACTTGAATTCAAAGGAGGAAAAGTAAATAAATTGTATAATAAATAGATATGGTAAAAGTTAAAAAAAAATATGTAGGAACATATTGAATTCTCACGAATGATTTCATATGTTTAAATACTCTAATAAATTCAGTAAACAAAAAATTAATTAAATTCACGAGCGCATAAAAATAGTGAGTCGGACAGCAGCTCTGCCTTGTATGTTAAGCCACCAAAACTGCCTGTCCCTAATGATATATAACGTCGATCAATAGGCAATTTATCAAACAACGCCCAAAATATCAAAATACGTTAACATCAATAATTAATGTATAATAATCCTAAGCCTCATCTGTCACCTTCATTCGTGGCGCCGAGTCAATGCATATAATCTTTGAACCACACATATGATTTTTTTTAAATATAAAGATAATTTACCATGTTATCATACTTTTATAAAAACACATTAAAAAATCAATAATGCCCGACGATAAATGTACATATTACTCATAATTCTTTACCTTAAAGGTCTATTGATTTTAAGATGACCTTAACAATTTTATATATTAGTGAATCATTTAAATAATTCGTATAATGTTCATGTTCAATTTTAACAGTTTTGGAGAGAAACGCGAGAATATTTACAAGAATGTCAAGAAAGGCATTAATCATGGGAAAACGTATTCAACGACTAAAATTTTATTTTGCATTATCTTCGAGTCAAGAAACACTATTCAAAAATTTAGCATGATCTTCTCCTCGTATAAGTAGTTTTTCTGACGGTTGTAGGATACCATCGTCATAGGATTTGTACATCGGGATCCTTATGTAATTATAAGAATGGCAGTTATTGCAACTTTTGTCTGGAAGGCTTATATATATATATAAATTAATTATATATATTTAAACCCGATCAAAAATAAAAAATATGCAGGTAAATTAAATTTGTCATTTGTTTAAAAAAATTCACTTGAGAAAGGTCTGAGTTTTAGATTTGCAATCTTTGCATTGATAAAACTTTTTGACGCCCTTTTTGTAAATTAGGCAATCCCTGTGAGTAGCTTTGCAATTTTCGGAAGCTGACCAGTAACTATATTTACATTTTATGCAAGAGACTACCGTGCATTTTACTTCCATAACTTTTTCTAAGTTGGTCGTCACGGCTTCCTTATTTTCCAATTCATTAAAATACCTTAAAAAAATAAATTGTAAAAATAAACATGGTTTATATATTTAGGGTAATGATGTACGGCGTTAAACCTTATTTATTTTTTATGTGTTTTAGTAAAATATCAGAATAGCGTTCGCAATTTTATCCTAATATTAAAAAAAATTGTTTCAGATGGTGCGGGCTATCGGTTGAGTGCGTGTATCACTAATCCGATAGTTATGGTTTCGAAACAGTAAGGATCATGTTTTTTTCCTGAAGCAGACTAGCTTCCGTGCTAAAGAAGAGGGAGTGGGGTCATATATAGAATGTCGGAAGCCGTGGTTCAATTAATATATATATCAAAAAATAAGCGGGCTGCATTTTGATAAAATTTGGTTGTTATTTAGCAAATTACTTTATGAGGACATAAATATATCATTACTCTTATATTTAATCATATATTTTTAGGGGTTAAAGTATATTACTAATACTCACCTGTTTATTTATATTTCTTGTCTTTTCTTGGACGACAAAAAATATTATTTAAATAAATTTTAAAAAATTATTTATAATATTCTTTTCATTTAATTTATTTTTCTATTTTTTTTTATAGACAAGGTCTGGCCGGTAATTATATTTTCTACAAATACGAGCTAGCCATGCAATTGGTACCTCTGCAGGGCACTGATTTTTTATGAATTACTTTTAACATATTTTTTATTAAGTAAAAATTTTTGCTAAAATTGTATTTGATGTCAATTTTTTTTTTAAATATGAAAATGATTAAAGATTACAAATTGAGGGTGGTCACACATTAATGACGTCAGAAAGTATGAGTATAATCGTTATTCGGTAATGTTAACCTTTTTAATGTAACTCACAACAACAAAAAATTGCCGAATTGAAAGAATTTGATCTGATATCATGAAAAATAATATACGTTTTCATTGTTTCGAAGTGTTAAATATGATATACCATATTTTATTCTAGATTGCTATCCCTCTATTGTTTAACCTTAAATACATTTCAATTAAAAATAGTTTTTTTTTATACACCTCTTTTGTTTTGTCTTAAGTACATAAATTAAATAAAGTTTTTTTAGAGATCTCTTTTGGTGAATTAAGCATATTAAGTAAAACATATGGTTTTTGTGTTTTTTTTACTTAAGGATTTTTCTTACCTTTGAAGTCCTAAGTAAGGTGTTCAGCAAATATAAGTTAGGTATTTAGGTCTAGGAGATCACCCTGTATAATTTGAGTTCCGAAAAGTATAAGGGGGTGGGTTTTATCTC